GATTGGTGGTTGCCAGGGGCTAGGGGGAGGGGAAAATGGGACTAAATGCTTAATGAATACAGTTTCCTTTTGAGATGAGTTTCCTTTCAACATTTTGGAACTAGATAGAGGTGATGATTGTACACAACACTGAATTGTTCATTTTAAAATGCTAATTTTGGCCGGGCGCGGTGGCTCACGCCTGTAATCCCAGCACTTTGGGAGGTTGAGGCGGGTGGATCACAAGGTCAGGAGTTCAAGACCAGCCTAGCCAATATGGTGAAACCCCATCTCTCTAAAAAATACAAAAAATTAGCCAGGCGTGGTGGTGGGTGCCTGTAGTCCCAGCTACTCGGGAGGCTGAGGCAGGAGAATCACTTGAACTCAGAAGGTGGAGGTGGCAGTGAGCTGAGACCATACCACTGCACTCCAGCCCAGGCCACAGAGTAAGACTCTGTCTCCAAGAAAAAGTTAATTTTATGTTATGTGAATTCCACTTTGATTAAAGAACAAAACACAGAAGCAATTATTAGCTATTTGGAAAAATTTGAATACTAACTAGATCTTTGATATACTGAAGAATTATCGGTAATTTTTTGGTGTAATGATGGTATTGTGGTTATGATTTTTAAGAGTGTTTGGTTTTAGATTAGTATAGCATATAATAGTGGATGAAATTATACCATGTCAGGGATTTGCTTCTAAGTAGTCCAGTGTGAGGGGGGCAGGGGAAGTGGGTGGAGGTACAGATGAGCCATGACTTGACTAATTGTTGAAGTGGGTGATAGGGGTTCACTATACTATTTTCTCTGCTCTTGTATGTGCTTGAAGTCTTGCCTAATAAAGTTATAAGATTTCCTTTTCAAGCATAATTAAGAAAATCAAAGATTAGGCTACATTGGGCTTATTTAGAAATCTATTAGGTACTTACTCTACTCTATAAAATTAAATCTTTCATGTATCCACTGAATCTAAAATGAAAATTGAGGGTGATGGGGTCTGGTAGGGAGCAGGTCCAGAGTGGGCTCTCCCACCCAAAACTGAATGGGGTGTCTGGGGCATCAGGGAGCTCCCTTGCCTGGCCCTCAGTGGCCTGATGGAGTAAGAGGGTTTGGTTGAGTGCTTCAGATCTGATCACTATGGTAGGAGAACAAAAATGCATATTGTGTCACATTGTGTACAGCTCCAAAAAGGGGCACTAGTCATGAGTGTCAAATGTGCGGGGCCACAGAAGTGGGTCTTTCTGCATATGCTAATCACATTTCTGGCCAGCTGCACAAAGATAGTGTTGATGCCCAGGAAAGAGAAGATGATGGAAAAGGAGAGGAAGAGGAAGAAGATTATTTTGACAAGGAACTCATTCAATTAATAAAACAAAGGAAAGAACAAAGTCGACAAGTAGCAGCCAAGAAGGAAATTCTGATGACAGGTGACCCTAATGGAGCTGAGAACACCAAATTCCTCACCAAGACAGAGAAAGTTACAGTCAACCAGCGTGGCATCACCCTGGACCTCCACAGCAGGATTGGAATTGGGAAAAAGATGGCTTTAATAATATGTGGAGAAACAGCTTTCTGCATTCTTTGAGGAATAGTGGTGGACCAAAAGGATGTCTTGAGTGGCATTAGGGTGTTGCAGGAGGTTCCTCGACTTGGTTTCACAACCATAGTAATTCTGGAGTTGGTTGGCATTCAAATAGTGGAACAGTAGATTGGAATCATAATGGTACAGGAAGGAATTCCAGTTGGCATTCTGAAGGAACAGGTGGCTTTTCCAGTTGGCATATGAACAACAGTAACAAAACTAGAAATCCAGTGTATGTAGTAAAAATAATTGCAACTAAAGTGGCCCTGGACACAAATTTCAACGAGGCAGAAACAGAAATTCTAATTGTCAAATGGAAGATGTGACTATGCTGTGAAACAAGAAATCTAGTAAGTCAAGCAAATACAATTATGAGAGATATATTTGGGAGGCCGAAACGGGCGGATCACGAGGTCAGGAGATCGAGACCATCCTGGCTAACACAGTGAAACCCTGTCTCTACTAAAAAAATACAAAAAAATTGCCGGGCAAGGTGGCAGGCGCCTGTAGTCCCACCTACTTGGGAGGCTAAGGCAGGAGAATGGCATAAACCCGGGAGGCGGAGCTTGCAGTGAGCTGAGATCCGGCCACTGCACTCCAGCCTGGGTGACAGAGCGAGACTCCGCCTCAACAATCAAAAAAAAAAAAAAAAAAAAGAGAGAGAGATAATTGGCAGTGGCAAGAAAATGAGAAACTTGGTATGGTTGCCACATATAGAGGTCCTTCGGAAGGATTTACAAGTGATAAATTTCCTTCAGAAGGCTTACTTGACTTCAATTTTGAGCAGCCAGAAAGCCAAACCACTAAACAAACAGATACTGCAACTTCCAGAATTAGTGGAAAGAATGGCAGTGCAGCAAGGGGAAAAGCCTCGTTGCCAGACTCCTTACCCTCTAAAATAAAAATTAAAAAGAAAAAAGATTTGGTAGTACTCAAGTTGAAGGAAGGAAACATGACAAACTTAGAGGAAGCATAAGGAATTTCATATGTGCTTCTTAGGAAAAATAATTTTTTATTTAAGCCTTTTTTTCCTTTTTAGTTGATACAAAATAATTGTACATATTTGTGTGATACAGAGTGATATTTCCATGTGTGTATACAATGTGTAATGATCAAATCAAGGTAATTAGTGTGTTCAGCACTTCGAACATTTATTATTTATTTGTGTTGTGAACATTCAAAATGCTCTTTTCTGGCTTTATGAAAATATAGAAAGCTGGCTCTTTTAGCTTTTTGTAAATATGCAATAAATTATAGTTAACCATATTACTCTATAATGCTGCAGAACACCAGAACTCACTGGAACTCATTGATTAAACTGAATATGACTGAGATCTTTTCATGAAATGAGAAGCTATGGATTTAGAATCATTAAACTTTAAGGCTGGGTGGGCCCGTCCAAACCCATCATTTTACTGCTCATTTTACTGCTGGCAAGGCTCAGAAAGGGTTATATGACTTATCAAAACATCTTTTAAAAATAATAAAAGCTGTCTGAGCAAGTGAGCTCACACCTGTAATCCCAACACTTTGGGACATTGAGGATCACTTGAAGCCAGGAGTTCAAGATCATCCTGGACAACACAGTGAGACCCTGTCATTACAAAATTTTAAATTTTTAATAAACAAAAGTTATATTTAAAAACTCAAAGTATGAAAATATAGGGGGCCAGGCACGATACCTCACACCTGTAATCCCAGCACTTTGGGAGGCCAAGGTGGGCGGATCACCTGAGGTCAGGAGTTTGAGACCATCCTGGCCAACAAGCCCCATCTCTACTAACAGTATAAAAATTAGCCAGGTGTGGTGGTGTGCAGCTGTAATCCCAGTTATTCAGGAGACTGAGGCAGGAGAATCTCTTGAACCTGGGAGGCAGAGGTTGCAGTGAGCCAAGATCGCGCCACTGCACGTCAGCCTGGGGCACAGAGCAAGATTCCCTCTCAAAAAAAAAAAAAAAAAAAAAAGAAAGAAAAAGAAAATAGGGGAAAAAAATAATTCCTGATTCCATAATTCAAACAATTTTAAACTTTCATTAAAATTTTGGGGTGTTTCCTCCCAGCCTTTTTTTTAACTCTTAGGTTTGACTTTTCCTAATATAACTCGAAGCATTTTTACATATTAATGCATATCCTTAGAAATAATTATTTTAATGGTTGTCTAATGGTTCATGGAGTTGATAATAGTTGACTTTTTCATTCTCTTATAATATGGCATTCATATGATTTCCAACTCTTTATGACTACAAATAAAGCTGCTACTAACATATTTATATACAAAACTTAATTATAGTTAGTATTACCATAACCATTATAGTTAGTATTACCATAAAAGTTTTCTCAGAAGATAAAACTTCCTAAAACAGCCTTTTTTTTCCTTTGAAAATTTGTTAATGGACAAAATAGAGTTAGATTCTCCATTTCCTTTATGGATCAAGCTATGAACAGTCAAAATGATAAGATGTAGAGGCAGGCTGATGATTGTCTTTCCATTATGAGCCAAACAATCTTTATGTGAATAGTAGAGGCAGAAAAAACATTTAAACTAAAATTTTACTCTACCTGTTGAAAAGCTTTTTCTGCTTGACGTTCAGCATCAATAACTTGTCTCTCAAGCTGCTGCATCTGTAAAGTGAGGGAAAATATAAATACAAAAATTTATTTTTGAAAAATAAGCCTTTCTGAAAAAGGCTTAAAAAAATCTCATCATGTCATCATCAGTTTGGATATTTTAAAGTAGTTCACTGGAGATGAGTTAAATACAGTTAGCACATTAAAGGCTCTTTGCATATTTAAAAGTTGATCAAAATGCCAGAGTTTTGGTACTTTTAATACAAGGACTATATATATACCTCAAGAGTATTCATCAATAAAATTTTCTTCAGTGGATTGTAAATTAAAAATTACTGACTAACACATACTAAGAACAAGAAAATAAATCTAAGAGGAAAGAAAGGCTTCAAATGTCCTATTTGACGGGTTGATGAAAAAGTCATAATGACATCAGGGAAGCGACGTGTTCTCGTCAACTCCGTGGGTGCTATATTTCAGTAAAAACTCTGGGTTGTTTTACATTCTTACAGATTGATGGAGAGAGTATAGAAGAGATTCTTTGATTAAACACACAGACACACAAATACTAAAACGAATATTATAAGGAGAATTTTAAAAGCCTTAAAAAGGACCCGATGCTAATCAACATAGGGATGTGTTGTACCAGGGGCTGAATACACTAATCGTGAGGTAAAACTCAATTTTATTCTTTTTGGCTTAGTGCTGACGTCTGGCCCACTTCAGAGCCGTCTGTGACTCGATCTCTGCTCATTTTCAACGTTATTGTTGGTTGGGAGGCCAGGCGCGCAGAACTCCCAGCACACCTCTCACTCGCAGCAGCCCGGACCCCACCCACAGTGCCGGCCGCGTCCGGCTCCTGCCCCGCCCCCTTCTCTACGCCACCGAGAAGCGACCTTCCGCAGCTAGAGTGGCCCAACCGCGAGCGCGGCCGCGAGCTCCGGAAGGCGCGGGACCCTCCAGGACCCGGTCCCAGGCTGCCTTTGACCCGAGGGCACTGTCCTCAACGCCTGGAAAATGGTTTCCGCTAGTGGGACATCATTTTTTAAGGGTATGTTGCTTGGGAGCATTTCCTGGGTTTTGATAACTATGTTTGGCCAAATTCACATTCGACACAGAGGTCAAACTGAAGACCACGAGCACCATCACCTTCGTCCAGCTAACAGGAACGACTTCTTAAACACTTCGAAAGTGATACTCGTGGAACTCAGTAAAAGTATTCGTGTTTTCTGTATCATCTTTGGAGAATCCGAAGATAAGAGTTACTGGGCTGTACTGAAAGAGACCTGGACCAAACACTGTGACAAAGCAGAGCTTTACAATACTAAAAATGATAATTTGTTCAATATAGAAAGCAATGACAGGTGGGTACAGATGAGGACCACTTACAAATACGTCTTTGAAAAGTATGGTGACAACTACAACTGGTTCTTTCTTGCACTTCCCACTACGTTTGCCGTCATTGAAAATTTAAAGTATCTTTTGTTTACAAGGGATGCATCCCAACCCTTCTATCTGGGTCACACTGTTATATCTGGAGACCTCGAATACGTGACTGTGGAAGGAGGGATTGTCTTAAGTAGAGAGTCGATGAAAAGGCTTAACAGACTTCTCGATAACTCTGAGACCTGTGCAGATCAAAGTGTGATTTGGAAGTTATCTGAAGATAAGCAGCTGGCAATATGCCTGAAATATGCAGGAGTTCATGCGGAAAATGCAGAGGATTATGAAGGAAGAGATGTATTTAATACAAAACCAATCGCACAGCTTATTGAAGAGGCATTGTCTAATAACCCTCAGCAAGTAGTAGAAGGCTGCTGTTCAGATCTGGCTGTTACTTTTAATGGACTGACCCCCCAAAAGATGGAAGTAATGATGTATGGCCTGTACCGGCTCAGGGCATTTGGACACTATTTCAATGACACACTCGTTTTCTTGCCTCCAGTTGGTTCAGAAAATGACTGAGGGCTGGAGAATAATAGACCTGTGCTGTCCAAGAGCACTTGAAATGTGGCTAGTCCAAATTCTGATACAGTGTTAAGTGCAAAATACACACTTCATTCAATAATTCATATATTATTAGAAAACAGTATGAAGACATAAAACATCTCATTAATAATATTTTATATTGACATCACACTGAACTAATGTTTGGGTATTTTGCATTAAATAAAATATACTATTAAAATTAATTTCACCTGCTTTTTAATTTTATTAATGTGTCTATTAGAATATTTTAAGTTACACATGTAGCTTACATATTTCTACTGGTTAATAAAGGTGTAGAACATTTGTTGTCACCATGTATGGCCACATATTTAACTGCCTGTCCACATGGCAGCATTTTTTTTTTTTTTTTTTGAAATGGAGTCTTGCTTTGTCACCCAGGCTGGAGTGCAGTGGCACAATTTCGACTCACTGCAACCTCCGCCTCCCAGGTTCAGGTGATTCTCCTGTCTCAGCCTCCTGAGTAGCTGGGACTATAGGTACACACCACCATGCTGAGCTAATTTTTGTATTTTTAGTAGAGATGGCATTTCACCATATTGGTCAGGCTGGTCTCAAACTCCTGACTTCAGGTGATCCACCCGCCTCAGCCTCCCAAAGTGCTGGGATTACAGGTGTGAGTCACCGCGCCCAGCCCCATGGCAGCATTTTAAAAGGCAGTTTATTGCAGGGATCTAGATTCTGGAAAAGGTTCAAATATTTGGATATGTAAATAATACCGTGCAAGTGCATTCTCAGTACCTCATTTAATTTCTGTGAAAATATTTCAAATGTTGAATGAGCAAGTATTGTGGTTTCAAAGCATTTTGTTGAATTACTTGTTTAGACTATGGCACTATATAGAAGCAACTGGACAAGTATTATGTCTTTTGGATGTCTCTAGAATATTCCCTAAACCAAAAACCAACTAGCAAACACATGCCAATACCACATTCTTCCACTACTGGCAATATGCTGACAATTGTCACTTCTACAATATAACTATATTCTATTTTCAGGGAAATTTGGTTTTTCTGGAGCCTTAGCCTGGATTTTGAATATTGTCAGGACTGCCAGGAGAAACAGAAGAATGCACAAAATTTTGCTAGTGAAAAAAATAGTTTTCTTAAGAGGACTATGCAAATATCTTGTCTGATTTCTCCTTCTCAAATGTTTAGTTTCTAGTGATAACAGGAAGGACAAAAGTCAGCTTGCTTCACTGTTACATAACTAATACAGGTCTTTCTACATAGTAGGTATTTAATATATTACAAATTATTGATGAAATGACAAAGCTCTCTGTCATGCCTAAAGTACCACGCATATATTAAGGACAGTATCATTATTTTTACCACTGCCAAATAACTTTTTTTCCGCTCCTATGGCACTGACTTCCTATCTTGTACTATCTTCCCAACTACATTGTAAGTTGCTTGAAGGCGGAATCAGGCTCAAAAGTTACTTGCTTTCTTAATGAAAAGGAGGTAATCCTTGAAATATTAATATAGGGAAAATTGGAAAGAATACTGAAATTAAAGGCAAGACCGAAATTGGGACCCAGATTCCAATACTTACTAGCTATGTGATGATGGGTACATTATTTAACTTATCTGAGTCTCTGCTCCCTACCTGTAAAATGATACAACACTTATTTCACAGCATTTATGTGAAGATTAAACAGAAAAGCATCCAACATAGTATCTAATACTTAATAGGTGTACAATGAATATTTACATAGAAATTTTTAAAGCAGCCTATTTCTACCATATATATGTGTTATTTTTATGAATAATTTTAAGTTAGGAAACTCTACTATTTACCAATAGTTTGCCACTGGACTCTAAAATTCTTGTGTACAAAATGTGGATAATATAACCTGTTCTAACTACTTTACAGGATGCTGTAGGGATAAAAATAAGAAAATATATTCAAGCAATGTGAAAAGCTGGTGGTATCTCATCTATTTAAAAATATTATGGTAGCAGTTGTAGTGTTATAACTTGAATGATAAAACTAAAAGTCACAAATGTCCAAAAACAGGATTATGTAAATATATAAATAATGGTACATCCCTACGGTTAGATACCATACAGTCATTACAAATTTACATGCATGGAGGAAATGATATATTTGGGACTAGTCTCAATATAACACAGGAGGAAAGAAGTAGGTCAGGGTGCAGATGAAACAGGATTGGCCCTGAGTTGACAACCATGAAAGCTGGGTGATGTGTACATGAGGGTCCATTATAACATTCTGCTTACTGTTGTATGTTTGAAAATCTCTCTAATAAAAAGTTTTAAATATATATGAAAAAATGTAAATGACATTTTAAAAAATATAAATTATATAGAGAATGATATTATACATAAATGATATACTGAGGAAAAAGGGACTGCAAAGCAGTAATGAATGTTGCAATCAAATTTTTGTTAAAAAGTTATGTGTGCCTGTTTTTATGGAATTACATAAGCCAAGGACAAGGAGTTGTGTAAGTGACAGGGTTATGGATAAAGTAGTTTGTATCATACGTGATGAGGCACCACAGGGAGTCTTATGGAGCTGAAAAAAGTAAGAGAATAATGGCAGGGAGGGAAAAAAAAAGGGTGTTAGAACCTTGCATTAGAAATAGTAGCCAATCGTCAGCAAAGGTAATTCTGCTCCCTTAGAGGGAATGAGTAGAAAATTAAGAGGAAGATTTTCAAATAACCTGTGAAATTAGAGAGGCTATATATAAATGTCCATAGAAAAAGGGTTCAAATGCTGAAGTGGAATCTAACTAGGTGACAACTGGTGATGATGACACTGCTAATCAGGAGGTCATTAGTGACTTTTGTGATTCCAGCTGCACTGTGGAGAAATGAGGGCATAAGCTGAAATGCAACAGTCTGAATGAATTAAAATCATTAGGAAGAGCAAATTAAACCTAAAGCCAACAGAAATTTAAAAACTAATAATAAAGATTACAGGAGAAATGAATAAAATTAAAAACATAAAAACAGAGAAAAATCAATAAAACCAAAAGCTGGTTCTTTAAAAATATCAATACAATTGATAACTCTCTAACCAGACTAATAAAGCAAAAAAGAAAACAGACACAAATTATCAATATCAGTAATGTAAAGGGAGACATCACCACAGACCCCACAGATGCTAATGAAATAACAATATTATGAACTACTTCATGCTCATAAATTGAATAAAATAGCAAAGCTCATTTAAGAAGAAATAAGTTAGCTTAATAGCCCAATGTCTATTAAATAAATCACACTTGTAGTTAAAAACTTTCCCACAAAGGAAACTCCAGGACTGGACGGTTTCACTTGTGAATTCTACCCAAAAATGTATGGAAGAATGAATAGAAACTCAACAAAAACTCTTCCAGAACATAAGAGAAGGGAATGCTTCCTAACACATTTTATAAGGCCAGTATTGCCAAAACCAGAAAAAGATTAGACTAATCTCCTTGTGAATACAGATGCAAAAATCTTTAACAAAATATCAGCAAATCCAATCTAAACATACACAATAAAGATAATATGTCATGACTAAGTGGGGTTTATCCTAGGAATGCAAGGTTGTTTTAACATTTGAAAAATAAACCAATGTAGTTCATCATGTCAAGAGGCTAGAAAAGAAATATCATTTCAATAGACGAAGAAAAATCATCTGACAAAATTCAACATCCATTCACAATAAAAATCTCTTAACAAACTAAAAATATAAGGAATTTCTGATACCTAATAAAAGGTATCTACAAAAAACCCTATAACTAACATCATACTTAATGGGAAAGACTGAATGCTTTCTCCCACAAGAATGTTATTTTACCACTTTTACTTAAGGTTTTACTGCAGGTGCTAGCCAATGTAATAGCCAAGAAAGAAACATAAAAAGCATATATACTGGAATGGAAGAAATAATTCAATATTTATTCACAGATGACATGACTATCTACACATAAAGTCCCAAAGAGTCTACAAAAGAACTAATAAATGAGTTTATTAAGGTCATAGGATACAAGGTCAATATACAAAAATCTGCTGTATTTCTATATAAGAGCCATAAACGGCCAGGCGTGGTGGCTCACGCCTATAATCCCAGCACTTTGGGAGGCCGAGGTGGGTGGATCACGTAAGGTCAGTTCTAGACCAGTCTGGCCAACATGGTAAAACCCTGTCTCTACTGAAAATACAAAAATTAGCTGGGCATGGTGGCAGATGCCTATAACCCCAGCTACTCGGGGGCAGAGGCAGGAGAATCGCTTGAACCCGGGAGGCAGAAGTTGCAGTGAGCCAAGATCGTGCCATTGCACTCCAGCCTGGGGATCAAGAGCGACATTTCGTCTCAAAAAAAAAAAAAAAAAAAAAAAGGTTAAAAAAAAATAAGAGCAATAAACAGTTGAACTTAGAATTTAAACAACAGTAGCATTTACAAAAGTATCAAAACCATAAAATACTTAGGTACGAATGTAACAAAATAAGCACAATATTTGTATGCTGAAAACCACAATATACTGATTAGGAAAATTAAAGAAGAGCTAAAATAAATGGAGAGTTAAACTATGAGTCAGAAGACTCGATGTTATTGTCAGTTCTCTTCCAATTGACCTATAGATTCCACCCAGTCTTAATCAAAATCCTAGCAGGCCTTTCTGCACAAATTAAGAAGAAAAATCTGAAATTGGCATAGAAATGCACAGGACCTAGAATAGCCTAAACAACTTAGAAAAAAAAAATAGAATATTTATAATACCTGACATCAAGACTTATAAAATTGCAATAGTAGTCAAAAGAATGATATTTGGGTAAAAACAGACATATTAGATGAATAGAACAAAATAGGGTTCAGAAACATACTTTAAAATATGCAATTTTTTTCCAATTTTTATTGGTTTACTCTATCTTCATTGTCAGATCATATAGCCATCACATACTACAATCTCCCTAGTTACTCTGGTTGTCTGAACCTCATTCTCTAAATTTCTTAGGGAGAACTCCTAGGAACAATATTTTCTGAGTTCTTTAACTGCTAATAGCTGCTTCCTATGCCCTTTATAGTTGAAAGCCAGTTCTGCTTAACACAAAATCCTTGGATCATATGTGCTTTCCTTGATATCTGAAACATGGTATTCCATGTTCTCCTGGCATAAAGCATTACTATCAGTGTAATAACATAATTTTATTCTCCTAATGATATAAAGGTCACGTTTTTGTTTTTGCCTAAATCTCTAAAGAATGTTTTCTTTTTCTTTAACATCCAGTATTCTGATGAAAAATATGCCTTGAAGTAGGTCATTCTAGGTTAATGTTCTCAGCCACATGATCCCCTATTTCAATATGCGACATTTTGCTTTTT